GAGATAAGGTGTGATTGAGGCAAGAGAGGGAGAATATCTTTCTCAAGTAATACATCCACCAGCAAGTTTTGTGAGGGTGAAAGTTGTGCATGTGCAAATGAAATTAACAAAAAAAAAAGAAAAAGGTTTACTAGAGTTTCAACTACTTTGTGCGCTTTAATTTTGTTAAAAAAGTAGTATCAAATCAGAAAAAATAAATTTCAGAACATCAAAGTTCAAAAAAGGGTAAACCTTCAAGGCTAATTATTAGCACTTAAAATTTAAGTTTTACCTAAGCCCTCAGTTGTCTGTTTGTTTTTGGCCATCCATTTCCTTTGTTCACATGATAACTTTAGCTCAATTTTACCCCTATTATTTGCTGGAGTCACAATTATTCCAACTCCGGTCTAAACCTTCACGCTCATTTTGTACATTAATCTTTCTTTCGTGCATTCTTTAAGGGAGTGTTTGTTTCAAATCCTATAATTTTAGGGTATGGATTTCACCATGAGATTTGAAATCCATAGGTGTTCTGTTATGAGTTGGGATTTCTAAATTGTTGTTTGTTTCATTAATATTTTTGGATTTAGAATACTACAATTTGTAATATTTTATTTGTTTCAAGCTCAAATTGTAGCATTACCATATTCCAAAATTTTGTAATAGGATGAATATGTTATCTTGGTGAGATTACTTTCCACAAAAAGACAAATTGGGATTTGTCAAATATTTTCCAATTGAGAGGTAAGCACACCCATTTATGGGATTTATCAAAATCCTCTCTAATTGAGAGGATTTGGCAAATTAAAAAAATTGGGCATTTTTTACACTTTTTGGGATTCAATATTCTAAAAATTTTCTTAAAACAAACACCATATATGGAATCCCAAAATACAAAAAAAACTCACTATTTGATCCAAAAACTTGTAATCTATACCAAATGCCAAAAGTTTTGGTGAAACAAACACCCCCTCCCCTAATTGCTTATTAACATCAAGAATTCATCTTCCAAACGAAATCCTAGCAACAACAAAATCCAGCAAAATCAAACATAAATAATTTGAACTTAAGAAATAATAAAATAAAATAAAATAAAATGATGTCTCCCCATCCAATCTCTCTCTTCCCCCGAATTGCATAAGACTCCCATTTTTTTAATTATTTACTGTCAATCTTAAAATTTTGATTCAAAATCCCTGAATAGACAAAACCTCAATAACTCCAGAAGAAAAAAGTCCCCTTTTTCTTCTTCTTCTCCCTGATTTCAATGGTGAAGGCAGGGGAGGCGGCCCTGGCGGTGGTACTGGTATGGCGTTTCCAACATGAGGTTTTTACTGTTTTCCTCTTCACGGCTGAATTTTGTATAATAATTAGAAAAACTCTTGCATTTGCATAACAGATTGTATTAAATTGCAAAATTTAAAAACTTCAGAGTATATAAGCAAAGTAGGAGAAACTATAAGATACTCAATTGCTAATTAGCCTTTAGAGGAGACATTAGAGTATTTAAGTGTGGAGGGAGATAAATATAAAGGGGCAAACTCAAGTGAGTATTTCAGTGGTGAAATTTTGAGACATTACTTAATTTAAGTGCGGAAAAAATTGAGAGCATATTTGAGAGCATTGGATTATAACTCATAAATATATTGTAATCTAGTATTTGGTAATTAGTGGATTATAATCATATCTTTAATAGTAGAGCGTTTGACAAAATGATGGATTATATACATTATTTTTTGTCGAAATGATAAAAAAGAACAGGACATTGGTGGTGAGTCATTTAATGATGCATCATATTTTTGAAATTATAAGGAGTACTATAATTTTTGGTAGAAATTCAATAATAACTATGATTCGAGAGACATGTATTGAAAGAATCCTTTTTTTTTTACCTAGTCAAATGACCCAAATTTTATGGTTTATAATCCACTAAAAACTAAGCTATTTTAACTTAATCAAATCTTTTGACTCACAATCCACCAAAAACTAAGCTGGGCTAGTTTAATTTAATCTTGGGTGAATTATAAGCTAAAATAATCAATTTGATAAATATCCCAAAGTGGCTTGTAAGCTAAAATTTCAGGGTATTTGAGTGCATATAACGGAGTTAAGCCTACCCTCCAACTTCGAATGCTCCCTCCTTATCAGTACTCCTCGCTCCACGTACACTCTCGCCTTTGATTTCTCACGAAAACCCTAAATCCCCAAATTTCCCAAACCCCATAAAACCTCAAACTTCACAGAGGAGAGAGGGTAGTTCAAAAATCAAGGTCGTGATTGTCTGAGAAGCACAAACCCTAGGAACAAGGAGAGAAAGTTGGCAAATTTAAGAATCGAGATCCATGGACGGAACTAGCCAACAAGAACGAAGGGACGATGAAGAGGCTATCAGGTTTGTAATGTTGGTTAAAGATTAGCGCTTCAAATTTACTTGCTTCAATGGAAAATGATGCGAACTTGTGCCAAATTTGATAGCTGCGGTTATTTGGATGATTTCGTAACATATGAGGTTGATTTGGTGACTGTTTCTTGTAAATGGATTTCTGGATTATTAATTGGTTTTATTAAAGTTTTGTTCAGGGCCATCTATAGTTATGTGGAACAATGCGAAAATTTTTAGCGAATATGTGGAATTGTTACTTCTATTTGCTCTTAATACATGCGGTTTTTTTAGCTTTGTTGGAGTTGGTTTAATAAATAATTATCTGACTGTGATAATTCTTGAAATTTAGTTGCAGAATAATGGCAGTAAACTAGCACACGTTCATTGATACAGGAAACTGTTTTCCTACAATTGGTCGTCGTTATAGTGATGATCGTCACTGCGCTGCGACTTTATTTTGAAAAACATAGGGATTGAGATGCTTTCGGGACGAACATAGAATAATAGAGGATCAAGTATGCTGTACTTTTGGCTTTGCATGGTTACTGTAAAGTTTAACCAAATTTTTTTAAAAAAAACTTTGATGCTCAGAAGTTCTATTTTGACAATTTGATACCACAAAATGCAACACATTAATTTTCTTCGAGAATATCAACATAGAAAAGTATAAATTACCTTAAGGTTCATGCATGATACGGGCTACGTAGTATAAAGTATAAATTACCTTTGTTTAATGCACCGTTCTCAAATATATTCTACAATTGTCTTTGTTGCCTTAGGTTTTCTATTTTTTCATTTTGCACGTCCTGGGGCACGTTTCTCAGATAGACATGCATCCTTACATAATCACACATTACATGTTACTTTTGCTTAGGCAATGTGGAAATATTCGGTTGCAACCGGTCATGAAATTTGTTAACACTTAACAAGTAAAATTTTGCTTAAGTTCCATCCCATATTGACAAGGAAGGCTAAAGATGATAAAAAGAGAATTACACACACGAGTAAATTGAAATACAGAATAGCCTTTCTTCTCTAACCTTAATCTCTTGCACTTCTGTATTATTGATCTCTCTCTATTCTTTTACCCACTTCTTAAAACATGTGAGGAAGGTTTCTTCTTTTTCCGATTTCCCTTCTTGCATCCAGATTACTAGAACCACAGTTATATATTCTTTAAATGTTAGTGCCCATTGTATGCTTTGTTTTATTCATGGATACTGATGCTTCTTGAGGCAAATGTTATGACAGCAAGGGCAATGGAAGCTGCAAACTATGTTTTATTAATGTTAACTGGTTGCTATTTTGTTAAACATTCTTGTTAATTATTTCTTTTCTATGTTGCATG